TGTGTAATGGTAATACAAACTCAGATATGGGCGTACGTAAAATGTTGCCTTCAGAAACACTAAACACAATTTATTAAAACGAATATTTCGGCTACTAGATTTTTCAGTGGGATTGAGCACTGTTTCACAAAAAATTGAGATATTTTTTTTTTATATATATATATATATATATATATATATATATATATGTGTGTGTATGTATGATATAAATCATCAAAGGTGCTGTACATATACAGTGTTTAAATAAGGACATGATGGAACATCGTAGGCTACCCTGTAGCTTTTCAACGAACAAAGTCTACGATGTTCCATCATGTCCTTATTTAAACACTTTATATGTACCTTTGATGATTTATATTATATTTATTCAACAGTGTTAACTCTCTTCAATATCATATATATATATATATATGTATATATCTATATGTATATATATATATGTATATATGTGTATATAATGTAGGTCTATATATATGCAAATATATTTGTATATATCTATATATATATATATATACATTGATCATCTAAATAGGCCATCTATATATATATATATATACATTGATCATCTAAATAGGCCTATGTAACATATATATATATATATATATATATATATATATATATATAAAATCAGTACACTATGCTGATACCACTTGAAATAAGCAGACAATTAAATGCTATAGGCTTATGTATCTTGTTTATCTTTTTGTCAATTTCACTTAATATGATGTTCTATGTCTTTTGTACTACTTAATAAATATTTCAAACCCTTGAAGCTAAAAACAGAACTTTGATTATGATTTCATTACCATGAAATACAGAAAGCTTTTCAAGATGTGGGTGTGGATGATACTCTGTTCTCTTCTCTCATCATGCTTCTCAAAGTTGTATTAGTATATGTAAGGTTTTGGAAATTGAATTTGAAAATTATAGCCGAAAAATACTTACTTTGTTGCCCAAAAATGTTGGTTATTTTGTGATAGGCCCTATTGTTTATCACCCAAAATTGCCTGGCTACAAGCATAGAGAAAATAGAAAATGTTCTATTTTCTATATGCTACAAGTAGGCCTAAGTAGGCCTACCTACACAAAATCCCGACACCACCAAGGTCGAATCACTGACGTTTTGATACCCCAAAATGAGACGCATCCTATCGTAATTTGCTGTTTTCAAATGTCACAAAAATGGCACGTACGTATTCAAAGATACAATTATTTTTTACTCTTCCGTAAAATGTGAATAAATAAACAAAGATCCTACTAGAAATCAAAAATTACACCAAGCGTTTTTCATTTACGTGTAGTGAGCGAGATATGGGTGTCGTCCACATGTTTAGCGGATAGCAGGCCGGAGTATGTGACGTCAAAATGAAGACCTATCTGTCACACTAACCGTACGCATTCGCGTGCGAAACCTCCCTACTACAAAGACAAAATATTCGATAAGGAGAAAGGCGACGCCACGGACAAATGATAGGTCATTAATTATTAGGAAGGATTTAAACATTCAAAAGAAAATGCATTTGGGGAAAACAAAATGGGAATGTCCGATGGTCTGAAGTAAGGTAGATGTACTAATATTAACACTAATTCGGACAGAATTTGTTTTGTGTTGTTTCTGGAGGTTTAATGCAGTGACGCATGGTGGCGCTATCGATTCCTAATAACAATACTTATTAATTGAGCACATTTCCAAAATTAATCAAAAGCGCTTAACATTAATATTTTGATGAATATTAGGTAGGAGCTCCTCAAGGCCTCTGATTTAGATTTTACCGTTTTCAAACGGTGAAAGCTCGAAATCTCGAGCGGTAGTTAAAAAAACTGTTTTCATGCTAAGATTAAACCATACGTGCAACTTGTACACAGCTGACTTAAGTATATCAGTACAGTACTCGCAAATTTTTCATATAAAAAAAAAAAAATATATATATATATAAAATAGGCATATTCTAAACACGTCAAAAGAGTGGCTTTTTTGAGAGAACTATTAGACCACAAAATCTTGATTTAACAAATAAACATTATACAGTAGTAAACATTATTAGTTATTATTCTTCATTTTAGCAGACCTGCCAACCCTTTGGTTATGAAATTCTGGAGATTTTTTAAGAATCTTAAAAAAATCTGGAGATTTACCAAAAAATCTGGAGGTTTCCATAAATAACCAAAAGATTATGCAAGATACCAAAAAAAAAAAAATCACGTAGCAAATCATTGGCCGTTAATGCGACATTCAAATTGAAAATACCTGCTTGTTTAATGCACTGCGAAGCGAGCAGGCGGCGAATACATCGAAAAATAACGATCAAATCAATCAAATTATGCATAAATCGGAGTATTTTTGGGGAGGTGGGGTGGCCTGTGAAATCGGGTGAAAATTACAATCGATCGGGAGAACTGGAGATTTGTTAATCGGGTGACACCCAACAGGATCGGGTGAGTTGGCAGGTCTGTTTTAGGAGAGTACAAATACGGTGCACTTAAGCCAACTCAGCTGAGACTTAATGGGTTGTCGAAAAAAAATCCTACTAGTAATGACTGAAATGTTAAAAAGAATACATGCTCAATAATATGCCAACTATAGTTTTCTTTATCAGATTTTTTTGTAACCACTGGCTAGTAAAATTAATGGAAATGAAGCATTGTCTGTGTCCAACAGAAAATGATTAATGACAACATGGCAGAACATAAAACCACTGTAACGGAACAAAACAGCAACTAATTGCTGGAACCTTACAATGAGCGGCCTTGAAACAGTGAATATTTGCGTCATTACAAAACATAATTTCCTTTGCATACATCAAGAACAAGAACTCTTGTACCTTTTCTTCATTACTGTATTTATTTAAGATCTCCTTATTAAATAAAATTTATAGATAGAATCATATGACAGGGACTGCTCAAGCGAACAGTAAGGTAATGAATACATTAAAGTAAAATGGTTGTAGAAATGTAATATAAAAGTGTCCAATGCCCAATACTTCAATAATAACCACATATACCTTACATATCTGGTGAGGTGAGAATGTTTAGGTTGATAAAAAATATATCATAGTGTCAAGAGAATGGATCCTTCCTTCCGGAATGTCAATCACACTTACCAACTGACCAATCAGAACATGCCTCGAAATACGCGTGTCTAACACACACACACATGTTGTTTTAAGCTTGGGGAAGGGAGGGGGAGAGTTGTCTACGTCTGATAGAGCTTCTCATGTAAATATCTCCAGTGTGGAAGGGGCGTTTATATCCTGGGAGTAGCAAGGATGAAACAATTTAGAGAGATTAAACTGACATTGAAAAATTATTCGACTTGGATACAATTCAACTTACAGTTTGTTAATTAATGGAAACACAACAATTTGGCATGTACAATAAGAATGACTTAGACATTATTTGAGTTTTGCAAAGTCAACTTATGCAAGTTTAAAGTCAGGCTCCGGAGGAAAAAAAAAATTTGATATGTTGTAGAACTGATTGTTCTAAGACAGAAAAAATTTGCTTGACGAAAAACTGGGGAACGGTGAATGAGATACAGATTTTTTAATATTTAAAAACTGAGGGAAAAGGGGCGTAACTGCCCATTTTTACACCTTATTCCCCCAATTTTTAAATATTAAAAAATCTGTATCTCATTCACCGTTCTCCAGTTTTTCATCAAACAACTTTTTTCTGTCTTAGAAAAATCAGTTCTACAACATATCATAATTTTTTTTTTCTCCGGAGCCTGACTTTAACTGCATACCCATATAATTCCTGCATATGAATGCATAATTATATATAATACTGTATACCATTATTATTATTAGTAACTTAGCATTCATAGGTAAAAAACTGATATCAGATATAATACAAATAATAATAAGGTTTATAAAGCACACATATCCACTGCTGCAGTAGTGCTCAAGGTGCACATGAAATCGCCATGATGTGCGATCACTGTACCTTTTGATCATTAAGTCATACAGTGTTGTATTAATAATAAATCAACATCTGTAGTAGCATCTAATATATACAACCTCAGCATGAAAACCATAAAAATGATCACAATGTACTGTACCCTGAGATCACTATGCCAAGTATTACTTTTCAGTTAGAAATTTATGCCACAGATCAGAGTTAATGACCGCAAATCCATAATCTCTGGCCTATGCATAATAGATCACTACCACACAGCATGACATCAATGGCAATATCACTGTGAGCACTATGCTGTATGATCACTGACATGTGACCTTATTCCATATATGGAATTTTCATACGTAATCTACAGTATGCCATATAATATTGAGTACGGTGCCATAAGAGAACCATGTCATTCTTCATTAAGTACCATACCATATGATAACTGTAACAAGTGATCTACGGTAGAAGTTCAGCAAACTATGAGCCAGGGCCCAATTTTTTCGTGGTAAAATATTTTTGAAAGGGCCACAAAGTCGCCTGGGGGGGGGGGAAATTAAAAGATTTGTTTTTTGTAAAACTACATTTGAACTTGCCTAAAGTCGAAAACAAAATGGCATTGGAAAAGTGTTTGACTTAGATAAAATTTGACTTACAGATGGTTAATTAAGTGAAAACACAACAATTTGGTACGTAATTAAGATCGACTTAGAAATTATTCGAGTAATAGGCAACGAAGGCTTAATCAAGGTTAACTGTACCATTGATATAGAGAATATCCATGTTATACAAAATGTTGTCACGAAATAGGACAGATAATGATATCAACTTATTATATATACCACAGGAAATGTTCATAATCAGCAGCTTCTTGCTAGGTTTTTGAATAGTTCGTACTTGGCACAGCTGGGCTAAGGCTTTGTGCTTAGAATCTCAAGTAGGCCATAGAGTTTGCAGAAAGCAGCAGCCACAGAGTAATTTTGCCCAATTAGAACCAAGGTAATGACAACTATGAGCACCCCATGCAATGTTCATTGCAAATTCTGTTTGAATATATACGATAAAATTCATAATAAATGTACAATAATTTTTTTTTTTTTGGTCGTTTTAACTTCATATACGAAATCCAACTCTGTCTCTTGGAATAAGTCGAAGCTCTGATCCGTGTTTTAGAAATACATTGCCGGCGGTTTGTTGGGGGTTAATTCCAATTCCATCTAAGAAGAGGGAAAAAACAATGAATGTCTATTTAATAATAGTATAAACAATAGCAACAAATAATAACACTGAATATTAACAACAATAAGATTGTTAAAGATACCTAATACGTGTTCTACAAAATTGCTTTATCAAAACAAAGCAAAGGAACTGACAATATGTGGTATTGCAGTATTTGAGGCATACAGAAGTTAGAGAGGAATTTAGGCCTAGGACAGCTCAATATTGATAGGGCATTGGCTGATAGCATGAATGCATCCTACACTCTTAAGACTCAGGTTGGCTAACTTTGGAATACTTAAAATTTTCCACTATTTTTTTTTTTTTTAATTTATTTATCTATTTTATTTATTTATTTATTTTATTTAATTTTTAATTTTTATTTATTTATATATTTATTATTTTTTATTTTTATTTTATTTCTTTTTTTTTTTTTTTTGGGGGAGGTTTTTTTTGCTACACATTATTATGGTATACTTGGATACATTTCACCAGCAGCCCTTCTGGTTCTTCTCGGTTTTAGTTAAGTCTCAATTTGCAATATCTTGTTACACAATATATCTGTAATAATTAGTCATTCTTTTAAAATTTCCTGGTGTTTAAAAATATATTTTAAACTGAATCAGTGTTCTTTATGTTCTCTATTGTTTAAACTAATATTATCATATATTCCATTGCATTAGAACATGTACACAAATTTAACTGTATCTTGTTGTATAGTCGACAATAAATTTCCTTCATTCCTTGATGATTTGGCATGAAATTATTTATCTCAGTAATATTCCTAAAGACAACCTTTCTTACCGTTAGTAATGATGGCACTTGTAGCTGGCGGTACCCGGAACTGAAAAAAAAAAAAAAAAATATACTGTTGTTATAAGACTATATTATCATATAAATAATGTGAAAAATCCACTTGAAATTCCATTTCTCCATTTCTTCACAACATACATCAAAGCTCTCAGGTTATTGCACTGAAGTGATCAATACATTGAATGCTCGGTACTGAACATGAGTGAGTCAAGTGCGGGAGTAGTAGGGCAGGGGTGCAGCTAAGTACAGCCTTAACATTGACGCTGGTTCAAGGCGGTCCTCGCATAGGGGGTTCGGTTGGTAGAAGCAAGTCTTTTTGGATTTATAGTGTAAAACAGGTCCAGTGTACACATCTGGCTTGTGTGCACTTTAAAGAACCCATTGTATATTTCGAAAGAGAAGGGGTTACACCGCGGTTCATTTTAGCCCCTGTCCTTGTGGAATGATATGAACTAAACGCCTCATTATGGCTACTAAAATAGTTAAGTTCCACACGGATTATTCAGAACAATGGCACTCTAAGTGTTGGTTATCCTCCTATCTTTATCTGAACATGAATTAGGATCACTAAAGCTGGGATTTTAGTCCATATGGAAGTAATGATTCAATTATACACACTACAGAAATTAGTATAAGTTTTAGTAAATATTCCTGTAATTGTGTGCACACTGTTATATCAACTACTACTCAGGTCCTGGTATTGAGCTTTGACATTACTGCCAGAAACAGTAAATGGTAACTAATAGTAACAGTAGCATAATCCCAAGGTAGTAAATTCTTGCCGAGCCACTATGGCCCCCATAGGGCTGGAGCTTATCCTTAGTATCAAGTGGCGTGAAGCAGATGAGAGTGTGATGAAGCTCCCAGTGGGAAGGAGGCTAGTTCACTTCAAGCAATTTGCTGGTACCCATTGATTCAGCTGGGTAGATTGAAGCAATGCAGATAAAGCGCCTTGCTCAAGGAAACAAGCGAAATGCACAGCGAAGGATCGAAACTCCAACCTGGAGGTTGGGAAACCAAACTGTTCCTGCTGTGCCAAACCGCCTCCATAATCTCAAGGCGGGGTGTTTAATTTAATTCTAAAAAAAATATAAAAAATAAAATCACAAAGAATCAATTATATAATTTGGTATAGCCTACCAAATTATACTGTATTATATACACAGTATATAATCATAAATCAGTATCTATTATACAATTCCATATTACATTACCTCTTCTGCAGCATATTTCAAGACAGCTGTAAAAGGTGTAGTTTCTGGAACACCCAACCTAAAAAAATAAAAAAATAAAAAAACAATAAAAAAGACAATTGTAATAAGCAATTTTAGTTCGACTGGTAAAACAATTTAAATTGTTCTGGTGGTGGAAGAAATCTACTCGGATAAGGACTATAAACCTTAGGCCTAGTGTATGCAATTGGCTCATGTGCAAAGAACCCAGTACAACCTTCGAGACGAGTAGGAAGTTAGCCAGTATACCAGTCCATACCAGTAGGACTAATAGTTTCTTTATCATGTATGTAAACATAATAATAATATGATGTTTACACCACGTCGTGTTTGTTAATAAGGCCAAAAAAAATTGTTTGTTCGCCCTCCTCCACATGCCCTTAACACACTGAAAAAAATAGGAAAAACAAAAAAACTGAAAACAAGTTTTTTTTAGCTTTTTCTTTCCAAATTAAAAAAAATGTGAGTGAATTTATCCTTATTTTTTACCAGATGCACTACAATTTAGTCTAAAGTTGTTGTTTGATATTGCCATTCTAGGCCTCTGTGGGATATTTTTATTCCATCTGATGAGTATTTAAAAAAATAAAAATAAATAAAAAATTAAAAAAATTTTTCCACCTGCCTCCATTTATAATTTAAAAAAAAAAGAAGGGCAAATATACAATTTATTTTATTTGGCCTAATGGTGGAGCTTCGTGTATTGTAGCATCAATTATACCTAACAATCTAAACGTCATAGCCAAAAAAATAGGTTAATGTGAATAGCCATCATTCATCCAGGAAGTTGTTCTGACCTGGCTTTCACATTCAACTGTTCAATTTACTGTAATATAAATTTAATAAAATCATAACTCATTTTTCTTCTTTCGCTGCATTCCCCAAATGGGGTCAAGCTACTACTTGTACTATAGCCTACTCCGCATAAAATCATAATTAATAACAAATTACAGGGACCTACAGATAACCCACTGATGTCAATTTATTTGTGATTAATTCTAGGTTTATGGACTGGTGAATACATTATTTATATTAAATAACGCCTAGTAAGTCAAAATCTTATCTAGGCGTAAATGAAATCTGATGAACTAGCATAGGCCTTGCTCTTGGCCTAGATCAAAAATAGGCCAACTAGACTAGGCCTAGGTCTACACAACATCTAGCATTGGTACAAGCTAGCTAGGTACTAGACCTAAGCCTCTTAATAAACGTCAGGCCAAATCACAGCCAGGTATTCTTCTTTCTGGTACAAGGCCTACCTACTGCTAATATATAGGTATGTTACAAATCTAAATTCTAATGTCACGCTTCCTAGCTTTAGTCACTTGTTCAATGGTGGGCTTGCCCTGCGGAGTTGGTAAGTTAGGGTGTGTTGAGTTTTAAAAACTCTTCAATATGCATTTTTTCATTGGATATTGCTGATGTCCTACAACAACATACAGATTAAAAATTAAAGGTCAAAGAAGGGTTACAAATTTCGCTGTGGCTAGAGATACGGTACCGTATTTCTACTTCAATTTGCTAAAGGTACGGTAAATGGCATTACGTCACCATCACCCAATGAAGTGCCAGAATGTGCGTGACGTCATTTTTCAAGACCGGCATGCAGATCACCCGCGATGAGCGGTGAAACGAGAACGATGTACAGTACTGGGAAATTAGGAGATCAAAAACTAAATATTGTTTGCCTTAGTATCTGTCATCGATAAATAGGCGCATAGTTCCACTTAGTAGAGTTTCATTTAGCTAGGCCTGTATAAATTTGGTATAACCATTACCAAACAAGGACTGTTTCCACCAAACTCTTGGCAGTCCTCTAGGCTTAAAATCAGTTCGCTTGGCGAAAAATCTAAGCAGGCAAGGCCTACAGTACTCGGCCTTGCTTGAATTCTGCCTTTCGCGGCAGCTGCTCTGGTGACACTGATCTGGGTGGCATATCAGTCATAAACTTAGCCTATTTCCTCCGTGATCATACCGCCTGAACTAATAATCCCTACATCCAAAGTCTTATATACTCGAAATAATACCACGCTTTACAATCCGACCAAAATATTCATACAATTTGAATGCACAACTTTCGTCACTGTTATGGTACAGAATCTAGGCCTAGATCGAGAGAATGAGTTTCCCTTTCGTGATTATTACTATTGTGTCAAATTTTCCCAATAATTTTAATGCAGACCTCCCTTAAAACCGTACTGCGGTATATAAAATGTTAGGAGGCCTTATGCATCTTCTTGTGTATATTCAGTTTTTAGTGCTTGTCATGTGAGGTGAACAGTGTGTGACTAGCGAAAAAATGTACTTGATTAGCAGATGACTATAGATAGGCAAAGAGAGTACAGTATATTATTATAATACTGTCATCGAAAAATAGGCGTAAATTGGGTTCCACTCAATAATAAGAGTCGTATGTCATTTATATAGCCATCAAGCAAGGCATCATCCTCAGGATTTAGGCCAAGCCACATATACACACACACTAGCTAGTCTTTGGTAATCTATTTAAATGACAATTAACACTTGCAATAAAAAAATGGAATATACTGTAAACAAGTAGATTCATACAGGCCTAGCATTTTATATACCGTCATTAAATGGCCCTGCATCAAAAGTAGGTTTGAAAAATTTGACACTAATTAATAGGCCCCAATCACGAAGGGGAAACTCATTCTCGATCCAGGCCTAGATTCTGTACCACCATGAGAGTGACGAAGTCTACGTAAAGTTTTGTGCATTGGTCGGATAATTAGCATCTTGGACTAAAACTTGGAATGTGGGGATTGAGAACTTCAGACTTGGTAAGACAGTGTTTATGACTGATATATGCCACCTACACCTATGTCGCTAGAGCAGGGCCGCCGCAAAAAGAAGAATCCAAGCAAGGCCTAGTACCTTCACCAGTGAAGAATTTAAAAGCAAGACAAAAGAGGCGGATTCCCTAGAGGAATGCCAAGACTTTGGTACAGAAATCAGTCCTTGTTTGATAATGGTTATAAAGGCCTAGCTAAATGAATCTCTTTACTATAAACTGGAACCATATGCCTATTTAACGATGACAGTAAAGTCAAACAATATTGTACTTTTGTGTTCTAATTTCCCAGTACATGGTTCTCCTTCCACCGCTCATTACGGGTGATATGCAATGCCATGCCATGCCAGTCTTCAAAAAATGACGTCGCACACATTCTGGCACTTCATTGGGTGATGGTGACGTAATGCCATTTACCGTACCTTTAGCGAAAAGAAGTAGAAATACGGTACCGTATCTAGCCATGGCGTACAAATTTGTTTTCATCCATCATCTATTTACAGTGTGATTGATGTCTTAAATTTATACTCGATTAAAATCTACTTTTTAAAATTTTTTTTTTAACATACCCATATTACTATTAAATACTAGATAGGGCCTAGGCCTAACAGGCTAACCTACTAGGCCTTGACCTGGCAGGATATGACCGGTTGAGCCGCCGACAAGTTGAGCCGCCGGTAATTTCTATGGAAAGCCAAGCGCGTCTCTGAGTGAATGTAGTCGGCTTGCCGATGTCATCAGTGAATGAACCCCCCGGATACCAGCTACATATTCATCCCACAGTCTTGTCATTCGTTGATTTGCTCGTATTGCCGTTTGTGATGTATAATTGTGTAATTGGAAATTAGAATTTTGATTATTTTATGTACTACATTTTTATAAAAATAAATGAATTGTATAATTGCAAAATCGTATTAAAAATGTAATTCTATGTACTACATTTTTATAAAAATAAATGAAGTTGTATAATTGCAAAATCGTATTAAAAATGTGTTTATTTACGTTTGGTTTGAGGCGTATTTCAATTAACTTATTCGTTATTTGTACTATTTTGTTAAATTATTTAATTAAATTATTGATAAATGATAAGAATGTATGGAATTTTTTTTTACTGTCTGGCAAGCTGATTGAGCAAATACTCACAAAATTTAAATTAAAACGAAAGAAAGAACAAGTAAATAAATTGAAATACGTCCCAAAAATATTTAATAAATCAGTGCAAAAACCGAGTATTAAATAAATTGAAATAATTGAGTAAATAAACTGAAATACATCCCAAACAACAGCAGTACCAAGAACGAATAAGTTAATAGAAATACGCCGCAATTAACGCACTACATTCACTAAGAGACGCGCTTGGCGTTCCATAGAAATGACCGGCGGCTCAACTTGTCGGCGGCTCTACCGGTCATAATCCGGCCTGGCCTAGCCATAGAATTTGGCGTAGGCATAGGCCCTAGGCCTACACAGGATTAAGTCCATACCTATTGACTTCAGACTGTATAGTAAGGCCTGCGCGGGGAATGTAAGCCTATCCTCCGGCAAAAATCTGGCCTAGAAATTCGTCTATACAGGCATACCACTAACTAAGGCTAGGGCCTAAAAGCAGGCCTAGGCCAAGCCAGGTAAATAAATCTTGAGTGTCATGGAAGCGGAGAAACTTACACTTTAAAGGGTAACTTTGGATCTGAAGTGAGGGTGATCTTGAATGTAACTTTCGACCTTAGACAAAAATGAAACACGATGAAAGATTAATGTTTTAAAATTTAGTATTAAACTCAACATTTCAAACATTATTCATTAACAATAATACAAAATATCCACATAAACTTACATTTTTTAAGCTAAAATTGTACCAGATGGTAAACAGTTTCGTAGTTGATTGAAGTACCCCCTCTGGCGGCTAACAGTACGTAACGTAGATGGCAGCAGATTGAAATTCTTAGAACTCTCTGAACGTTCCCAATCTTAAAACTAATCTTTTTGTTTTGACGATATAACATGTTTTTAACTAGTAGTAAATTTATTGGTCTAGGCATAATTTCAGGGCTTAGTGTCGACCATAATTATCCTCACCATTTAGGTATAAAAGTCAGATTATTATGTTTGAAACATATAATAAAAAACCTTCTATAGAACTCAATTTTTTACTCTACGAACGCGATCTGTGAGGATGAAGTCATTACAAATATATAATTTTTAAATTACACAAATTTGAACATTATTTTTATAATTGCATTTAAAACACTTTGGAAACAACATGACTGTTCAACCAGCTTAGAAAAAAGGTAATGGCCTACGAAAAAATATCAAAATTAATTGAATATATGACACTATCTCATGACCACTCAATTTGGCAGACACAAGATCTAAAAATTTAAAAAAAATACTTAATGAAGGACAGATACTCTTTATCGAGGACATTTAGAAACTTTAGGCCTACCCGAAACCAGGACTTTACCGCCAAATTTTGATAGCTATTAACGAAAACAAAGACAAGAAATGTAAAAGATAATTAAAGGATTTAGTATTAACGATATTTGATTGGAGAGATGTAACTTTTGGAAAATATCTAGTAAGTTTCAATCCCAAG